GTTGTTTAATTAATGCAAAGGAGTCAGAAATTGAGTTTTGCAAAGGTATTTATGCAATTTTGCAAAAGGCTATATAGATGGAATTTCAGTCTGTCTTCCTGAACCAGATTCCTGTGAGTGCTCTGTATTAGTTATAGCTACAAGTAGTTTTCCAGTATCTGTGATTAAATGCAATAATTTTGTAATCATTTTAGTTTAGCAACAGTATACTGTCAGTGTAACATTTCTTTGTTCTAGGAGATTTGCATCATGACTGAGGACATAGTTTTTTCATTTTGTTATGCAAATTTTCATTTTACTGTTTTTATGGTTTTTTATCTTTAAAGTTTAACACACAATTGTACCAAACTGAGCATTACAGTTAATTTTAGCACTCAGAAAGGACTTCAAAAAGAGACACACAGAGAGAGGACACATTCATTAGGACATACAATCACAATTAGTGTTTTTCAAAAACTGCTATCATTAATGCAAACAAGCTGAATACCAGCACATACCAAATATTCTCTATGAGATGGTTAAAAGTTGGATGAAGAGAGAGTCTACCAGGTATATGAGAGGCCTAGAAAAGGTCTTCAGTATGTTCAAGTAGATAATCTCTTACCAGGGCAAATGTTTGTGGACAAAGGGCAGGGCAGGTAGGGGTAGGTGGCAGAGGAACTTAGAGCATTTGTAAACAAAATACTCTCTTTCTTTTAGTGCTAAAAATTTTTCATCTCTTGGCTTTTGGAATGTTTGAAAAAGTGCAGCATTTTATTTTCTCTGGGACTTTATATTTCTATTTTCAAATACTTAAAGCAGTTTGGCACAGATTTTAGTTTCTTCTTCTTCTTCAGGGTGAAAATCACTATATTTTATTGTTCTTCAGAAGCCAGACAACAAAAGGAAAAAATGTTGCTAAGATTATGCTCTCTCTGAGAACATTTACATTACCCTTCTCTATTTCTCTACAGTTTTCTAAAGAATTAAAGGGCATGAAAGGAAACCTGCCACTCACAAGACAAAGAGTTTATTCCATATTTACTTTTAGGCAATTGAGTGAGCTTTTTGGCATCTTATTCACACTTGTCTGTAATTAGCGTTTGGTGTCTTCTTCATATTGTTTCATTCCTATTAACATCCACACTGATGACTTGCCATTAATCATGTTTGCAGACTCCTTTGTGCTGCTCGGGTGTCTAAGATTCTAACTCATTAAAAAGTCAGCACTTTCTCTTGTCTTTGGTCCTTCTCATTGCTTCTATCAATTAAAACTTCCTTCTTTTTTCATATTGCTAGCTTTTTTTTTTTTTTTTAGACAGAGTCTCTCTCTGTTGCCAGGCTGGAGTACAGTGGCACAATCTTGGCTCACTGCAACCTCCGCCTCTTGGGTTCAAGCAATTCTCCTGCCTCAGCCTCCTGAGTAGCTGGGACTACAGGTGTGTGCCACTACACCCAGCTAATTTTTGTGTTTTTGGTAGAGATGGGGTTCCACTATGTTGGCCAGAATGGTCTTGATCTCTTGATCTGCCCCCTTCATCCTCCCAAAGTGCTGACTGAGATTACAGATGTGAGCCACCATGCCTAGTATAAATAGAATATCCTCTTATTGTTAACATGGATTTCTGCATAACAGGACACTAATTCTGTTTTCCAGACATTATTAAAAGCTACTATGGTACTAAACCCATTATCAGCCTTTTAGATTTTATCCTCAGGGTATAACGAAGCTTGGCCTGTGAATCTAACATCTGAATTGCATTTGTTATTTTATCTGATATCACTTTCTACTTTTTTCCAGCTGTTGTATTAATTATTGCAGTATTCCAAACCACTTCCAGCTTAAGTATTGGGGCTGAGTGGTATAGGTACTATTATTATGCCCTGTTTACAGAAGAAAAAATGAAGGCACACAGAGGTTAATTAACTTGCCTAAGGTGATAAAGTTAGCCAGAGCGGAGGATTTAATAATCTTAGCCATCTACCTCTACAATCTGTGCTCTAACTGCTTTGCCTTACTGCCTCTTCAAACTGTTGTCATTTGAGAGGTTTAGGTAGTAGGTATTGTTATTGATTCATAATAGGGGCAGTACAGTTAGAGTTGATGGAAAAGTGAGTTTCAATTGATTCTTAAAATAGAGAATAGATTTAAATATATGAAAAAGAGCATTCCAAGATAAGCAGAATGAGAAAAGGTTCAGAGACAAGACCAATCAGAGTATGTTCAGGGAATAATGAAGCTATTAGACTGACTATAGAAATAATAACTAGTGAACTTGGTTAGTATTGAAAGTTTATCCATTAGAACTTAACTGGGAAAAAATATTAAGTGTTTATATCTGAGTTCTTAGATTCAATTGAATTCTTTAGAAAATACTGCTAATCTTACTCCTTGGGAACACCGACTCAGTTTTCAGATGGAAATTTTTTAGTAAGGAAATAATAAAATTCATATTCTTTATTATAGAAATTTTTTTTTAGTATTTTCATTTCTTTTTGAGCTAGTTCTGCTGACACCAACATAATTTGATTAGTTTAACTTGTGATAAAATAGATCCAGCAGGAGGAGTTGGATATAAGTTGAATTTCTGCCAGATTTCAGAAGAAAAATGTTATTTTAAGTGTTCTGGTCATTTCTGGTGGAGTGAAGGTCTTGTCATGAAGTTGTCATTGGCAGGTTTACAGATCACTGAACATGGCTTTGTTATTTACAAAAACCACAACACACATATACAAAAAGTAGATATCATGTGAAAACATGTAACTCTGTCAAAGAAATGTCATGCTTATATAGCCTAGTAAAAATAAGAATCTTGCTTGTAATGGGAAGCTGGTTCCTTTCCTAAGCTTGAGGCTGAAGAAATCTGAACTTTCCTTTGGGTTTTGTAACTAATTTACCACCCAAGTTTGAAACAGACATAAAATAAATAAGCTGTCAATATTTATTTATTTATTTTACTTTACTTAATTTTTTTTTTTTTTGAGACAGGTCTCACTCTGTCACCCAGGCTGGGGTACAGTGGCAAGATCTTTGCTCACTGTAACCTCAGCCTCCCAGGCTCAGGTGATCCTCCCACCTCAGCCTCCTGAGTAGCCAGGACCACAGGTGCATGCCAGGACACCCAGCTAATTTTTGTATTTTTTTTTTGTAGAGGTGGGCAAACATGTTGCCCAGGCTGATCTCAAACTCCTAAGCTCAAGCGATCTGCCTACCTTGGCCTCCCAAAGTGCTAGGATTACAGGCGCGAGCCACTACACCTGGCCTATTTATTTGTTATTTGTTATCTTTATGAAATAGAAGAGCTCTGAAGAGCAGGGAAATGTTGACACCAAAGGTTAGGAACTGCAGAAGTGTGGGAGGTATAGAGTTGGTCAAGTGGGAATTTCTTTGAGCAATCTTTTATTTTGGCTTGTGTGAATAAATAAGCTTCTTATGATTATATAAAGAATTTTGAAGCTTAATTTCCTTTTCTAGAATAGAGACACAAACCCCTTTATAATTTTCTATGTAAGACTCTGGATTTTCAGTTGTCTCATAGCTTTTTGAAGTAATCAGAAATAATATTAGATTTTTTTTCAAGCTAAACTTTATTGGTACAGTGCCATTTTATATAGTGCCTTACCTATTTAGAACTATAATTTGTACCATAAATTTCTCAGGACCCTTTAAGGGTAGGATCATAGCTCTTTTGGAATGGTACCTATTCCTAGAATAAACATGTTAATGCAAAGTCATCTGTTAATACTGTATCAAACTATGTTGAAAATACTTTCCTTTTGATAAAATGAATAGAAGCAGTAGCAAAAAAACCAAATCCTAACTGACCTTTAAATGAATCTTTGCATTAGAAGGCTAAAACTAAGGGCTTCTAAATGTTTTTTATCCAAAGAACTGTCTGACTGTGAAGAGTAGTATGCAGATGTGTGGTGGGGAGAAAGTGGGGATGGTTAATGGGTACAAAAAAAAAAAATAGAAAGAATGAATAAGACCTAGTATTTGGTAGCATAACAGAGTGACTATGGTGAATAATTTAATAATTAATGATAATAATTTAATTGTACCTGTTAAAATAACTAAAAGAGTATAACTGGATTGTTTGTAACACAAAGGATAAATGCTTGAGGTGATGGATATCCCATTTACCCTGATGTAATTATTACACGTTGCATACCAGTGTCAGAATATCTCAGGTACGCCATAAATAGACACACCTAACATGCCTACTATGTACTCACAAAAACTAAAAATCAAAACATTTCTTTTGAAAAGTGAAAAAAGTGAAGCAAACAACAGAGAACTGTTTGAACTATATTTAAAAGAAATGTTTATTTTCCAAATATTTTAATTTGGGAAAGACATTCAACTTGTGATTGGTTTTAACTCACAAATCAGGATGAACCTGTCAACTTTCTCCTCTGGATTTATTGTTGATCATTTCCTTAAAGTTTCAATTCTTCATTAATTTCTTTCTTTTTTTTTAAGTTTAGGAGTGGAGGTTTAACAGGTAGAAGAGAGAGAGAAACAGCATCATTCATAGAGAAAGGGGTCTCTGAGAGGAAAAGACCTCTTCATTAATTTCTTCCTGGGCAGAGCATATTAGCTTATGATTCTAGCTATAGCACAATCTCGTATAACCTTAAATAGGTTACCACAGTTAATCACCTGAGCCTTAGGCTTTTGCTGCTCTACAAGGGGATTATTTATTATTTAACATGTTGTCATTTCCAACATGTTTCCTTAGTGTTAGGTAGATAAACCTGCCTTTGGTGGCTTGTAATTCAGAAAAACTAATAATACATACACACATACACACTCTGTCTCTCAATAATTTATATTCTCTATATGTTTCTTGATTTAAATAAACTAAACAGGATAGAAAGTAAATTTGAACTAGAGTTAATTTTATCTGTCCTTATAAAGTTGTCATGAAAACTCATTAAGAAAAATAAAATAGAGTTCATTTTATTAAGAGGGTATTAAATCTTAGTTGGTAATGTCTCTTTCCTTCTTTCCTTTGCAGAATATGTATGTAACTGCTCTGTGGTTGGAAGCCTGGATGTGAATCGCTGCAACCAGACCACAGGGCAGTGTGAGTGTCAGCCAGGTTATCAGGGACTTCACTGTGAAACCTGCAAAGAGGGCTTTTACCCAAATTACACTTCTGGACTTTGTCAGCCATGTGACTGTAGTCCACATGGAGCTCTCAGCATACTGTGCAACAGGTAAGCAACACAGGGTGGAATTGAAGTTTAATTTATTTTAGCAAGGGGGAAAAAAGGCTCCTACTCTCAAGGACCATATTGGTTTAAACAAAGTGGAAGGACGGTCATAGATTTACAAACTATTTTGTAAATACTTTTATTCCCTTACTTTCTATGTTATATTTAAATTCAGGATTTAAAAACTTCTAATTTACTGATTTTTAGTTCTTCAAAAGCACTAGAGTCACCAATTTCTTTTTGGGATAATTTCTGTAAATCTCATGAGAAAAAATTATTGAGGAGGTAATCTGCTTTCTGGAAGGACTTTCAGGCATGAAACCTACTAGGAGATTTAAAAATGTTCTTGGCCGGGCGCGGTGGCTCAAGCCTGTAATCCCAGCACTTTGGGAGGCCGAGGCGGGTGGATCACAAGGTCAAGAGATCGAGACCATCCCGGTCAACATAGTGAAACCCCGTCTCTACTAAAAATACAAAAAATTAGCTGGGCATGGTGGCACGTGCCTGTAATCCCAGCTACTTAGGAGGCTGAGGCAGGAGAATTGCCTGAACCCAGGAGGCGGAGGTTGTGGTGAGCCGAGATTGTGCCATTGCACTCCAGCCTGAGTAACAAGAGCGAAACTCTGTCTCAAAAAAAATAAATAAATAAAAAAGTTCTTATGTTTATTAATATACAATTAGAATTTGAGGAAATTTGTTCTTTGGTTTATTTTTCTCTCTAATCAAAATTCTACATTTGTTTCTTTGGACATCTAAAACTTAACTTGGGAATACCCTAATTTATTTAACTAGTGGTAAGTAGACTGGTTTTGCTCTATTTACCAATATATTTTTGAGACCAAAAGTAGATTAATCAGGACTTGTCTTTAAATTAGTATGTTATTTGGAGGTAATTTAATCTAGTTTGCCTTGTACCACACTGAAAGTAATTATTCTTTGACTGTATATGAAGCACTTGGATTTTTGTGGACCCCAAGTCAAAAAACTGAAGAGACAGTGTTAAATAATGAAAATAAATAATGACAGGTTATACTCAGTGTAACCTGGGTATCCCAAGATCTGCTGCCACTTAGGAACTGTCTTCCTTGGACAAGTCATTTCATTTAACTGAGCCTGTTTCTTCTCAAGGTTGTTGTGAAGGTTAAATGAGTTGATATGTATAAAATACCTAGCACATATCACTCAATAAATTCTGGTTTATTTTAATTTCAAAGGAATATTATGGTTTTAAATGAGAGAATATGTTTTAAGAACTTTAGCTCCTTGACAAAAAAGTGCTTTATACTTTAGCAATAAATATTTTTGATGCTTTATAAATGATATTGTACTGTTATAGAATATTGTATCATATTGTAATTTATTAAAAATATAGAAGAGAACTTCATTAAGAAGTTTATATTTTCGAATGCAGCAATGATCAATGCTTATGATGCTGGGAATTTTAAAATAATTTGTCTTAATCCTCACAACAACTCCTCATATGTAGGTTACTAGGCCACAAAGTAAGTACCAGAGAAAGAATTCCAAATTAGGTCTTTCAATTCCAAGTCTAGTGTCTTTACCACCATAGCATATTACAGCATATGGATTCTATAATGAGAAAACTGATAATCACTTTGTTCTTTCAGATTGAGAATAAAGTAGTTGCTTAACGTTGTTCCCTCCATTCCCTGTAAAACATGCTCATACAAGTTAGGTTCAGAAGTTTCACATTGCTTACCATTTTAAAGGATATTGTTAAGTTTGTTCATTCTGGTGTCTCATGGAATGTCCACTACTTTCTTTAGAATAATATTCCACAAACAGATTTGTTTTCAGTACTTTTTGGAGAGATAGAAGAGTGTTTACTTCTAGGCCCAATCTTTTATGAGAAGAGAAAGAAAGAAAGGAAGGATTAAGAGAGAGTTTTATAATAGAAGCTATAAAAGAGGAAAAAGCAGTAATACTAATATTTATATAATATCTTACTGTATTCATGGTTCTTCTACAAATTATTCCTGATTTATCTTTTCTCTGACAGTTAATACTATTAAGTTTAATGCTAAAATACTATCCTGAAAATAGATGGTAACCATAAAGTAATGGAAAAGTACACTAGACTAGTAATCTAAAAGTCTAGGGCAGGGGTCTGCAAACCATGGCCTATGAACCTAATCCAACCCACTGCCTGCTTTTGTAAATAAAGTTTTATTGGAAGATAGTTCCACCCTTTTATTTATGTATTATCTATGGCTGCTTTTGTGCTATAGTGGCAGCATTGACGAGCTGTGATAGAGACTATACGGGCTGCAAACCACTATTTGACTTTTTTGGAAAAAGTTTACAAACTCCTGGTTTATATGGTGGTTTATATCCAATCATGATGGATATTTCTAGGTAATCATGTAACTTTAGGCAGTTTACTTTAACCTTTATTTTGTTCTATTTATTATTTTGTTTTATTGTATTTTGAGACAGGGTCTGACTGTGTGCCCAGGCTGGTCTTGAACTCCTGGGCTCAAGTGATCCTCCTGCCTCGGCCTCCCAAAGTGCTGGGATTACAGGGAATAGCCACCAGGCCTGGCTGAATTCTTTTAAGTGTTTGTCTTTTTATTTGTAAAGTGGAGATAATAATTCATGTCCTGTCTCTCTCCTGCATAAAGTTGTTTTGTCTTAAGAATCAAGCAAGATAGTGCATGGGTAAATCTTATAAGTTGCAATTGCTAGACAGATAATACAGATAATTATGGGAACCATTTATTGCGCATATGCTATATGCTAGGGCACTGTACTAACTACTTGATGTGCATTATCTAATTTTATTTTATTTTATTTATTTATTTATTTATTTATTGAGACAGAGTTTTGCTCTTGTTACCCAGGCTGGAATGCAATGGCGCAATCTTGGCTCACCGCAACCTCCGCCTCCTGGGTTCAGGCAATTCTCCTGCCTCAGCCTCCTGAGTAGCTGGGATTACAGGCATGTGCCACCATGCCCAGCTAATTTTTTGTATTTTTAGTAGAGACGGGGTTTCACCAAGTTGACCAGGATGGTCTCAATCTCTTGACCTTGTGATCCACCCACCTCGGTCTCCCAAAGTGCTGGGATTACAGGCTTGAGCCATCATACCTGGCTATCTAATTTAATTTTTATGGAAACTTTCTTGAGGAGAACATTATTATTTTCCCATTTTGACTGAGAATTCTGATGTTAAGGTATAGTTAAGTTTATACACTAAAGCTGCCATTTAACCCATCTGAACAAATGTAATACATAAGCAGAGTCCACAGAATGACTTTGCAGTTAATGTTTTTCCTAATAGAAAACCTCTTGGTATTTAACATCCAAATGTCCTAGAATTAATTATCTCTCAATTCATTGTGTTTTGGCTAATGATTATAAGATACATATTTACATTTATACATATTCACAGAAATGCAGTAAAGCCAAATACTGCATTGTAAACAAGATAATGTGTGGGATGTCTGTGTTAAACTCCACGTATAGTTGGTAGACTGTCAGAATCACATGTCAACAATTTGGAAGGTGCACAAAATATCAACAAAGAGAATGTGTAGCATGTTACTCCTTATAGCCACTGTTAAACTTACGAATTGTTTTTGCTCAGGAAATGATGTCTTCAGCATTTTATATCCTAATATGGGAGTCTGTTACCTTTGTATAGGTGCTTTGCTGTGTTTTAGTTACATTTTAGGAACTTGGTTAGTTATTTGGGGTTGACATAAAATGAATTGTAATTTTTTTCATTTAAAATTGATAAATAGGTTTTTTGTTAGTATCTCATGTAGAATATCTGATATTCAGTAACGAATGATTCATGCAGGAGGTGGAAGAGACCTATAATATTATTACTGCGTTACTTAATGATGGAGACATGTTGTAAGAAATGTGTTATTAGGCAATTTGATTGTCAGACAAGCATCATAGAATGTACTTACACAAACCTCGGTGGTATAACCTACTATATACCTAGACTGTATGATATGGCCTGTTGCTACTAAGCTACAAACCTGTACAGGATGTTACTGAACTGAATATTGTAGGCAATTTTAATACAATGGTAAATATTTTTTATCTAAACATAGAAAAGATACAGCAAACATAATATAAAAGATAAAAATGTCACACCTGTCTAGGGTACTTACTGTGAGTGCAGTTTGCAGGATTGATAGTTGGTCTGGGTGAGTCAGTGACTGAGTTGTGAGTAAAAGTCAAGGCCTAGGACATTATTGTACACTCCTATAGAATTATAAAGTCTGCACATTTAGGCTGCACTAAATTTATTTTTTTAAAGTTTTCTTCAATAATAATCTTAGCTTACTATAGCTTTTTAACATTGTAATCTCTTGATTTTTTTTTAACTTTTTGACTCTTTTTGATAACATTTAGCTTGAAACACATGCCCATTAGACAGCTGTGCAAAAATATTTTCTTTTTTATATCCTTATTCTATAAGCTTTTTCTTATTTTTAAATTTTATTTATTTTTTTACTTATTAAACTTTTATGTTAAAAATTAAGACATAAACACACACATTAGCCTAGGCCTACACAAAGTCAGGATCACCAATAGTACCGTCTTCCACCTCCACATCTCATCCCACTGGAAGGTCTTCAAGGGGAATAACATGCATGAAGCTGTCATCTGTGATAACAGTGCCTTCTGGGATACCTCCTGAAGAAACTGCCTGAGGCTGTTTTAGTGAACTTTCTTTAAATACGTAGAGGTACACTCTAACATAACAATAAAAAGTGTAGTATAGTAAATACATACCAGTAACAGTCATTTATTTTCATTATCAAGTATTATGTACCATGTATAATTGTATGTGCTATATTTTTATATGATTAGCAGTGCAGTAGGTTTGTTTACACCAACTTCCCCATGAACACATGAGTAATGTGTTGCCCTGTGTTACCACAGCAATGATCTCACTAGGTGATAGGAATTTTTCAGCTCATTTTAATCTTAAGGGACCATCATGATATATTCTGTACATCAT